TTTCATATAAGAAAAATTTAAACACTTGCCGAGTATGAGAACCAAAATTGTTTTTTGGGATGAGCTGAGAGAAAGATTTTTCATTCTTCTAATCAATGATTACATTACTTCAAATAGTCGTTGCTTTATCGGGCATACATACTGGATATATGAAATAAAATAATAAAAATGCGACTTTAAAATTAACGGACTGGAAGAAACGAAATTAAAAACTGTGAATTTGAGTGAATAATATGATTAGCGAACATATTCATTAACATATGTTGATGCAGGTGTCTCTATAGCAACTCAGCAGGCATGGGTCTCTACAGGGTGTATCAAAAAAAGTAAGACAATTTTGAAATTGCTCTCAATTCCACAATTCTGTTCATGAAATGTAATTTTTTATATGTTTAGATTGCTTGAGTTCTTAAACTATGGAAAATATAAAAAAAATTGAAAATAGTAAATTTTGCTATCCAGGGGGGTGGTCAACTTTTGCTCTCCTAAAAATGGCTTGCGCACGGAAATGACAAACGGTATTCTTTATTTGAGTTCATGTATGAAAAGTTCGCTATTTGTTGCATTTATGATAAAATTGCGGCAAAATTTTACCGAGTACAAATCCTACGAAAAGCCTATGAAAACGTTGCATTTTTCTCTGTTGGTGCTGTTCTTGCTTCATTATGAATTTATTTTTACTCCTATGAGAGTTCCGTGGAATTGCCATGGAATTTGTGCTTTCGAGTTGTTTGTGCTGAAACGCATTCTCTCGTATAATACCCCGTACACTTTGAGATGGCGATGCCACAATTTACCCCGCAGTAGAGACCTTTTATGCATGGTATCAGAGTTCCTCCATAGCAACAACATAAACTTGGTTCGCCAAAGTTTCACGAACGAATATCCAGATGTACGATGCCCTTCACGTATTCGCACGTGAAGGGCATCGTACATCTGGATATTCTTTTGTGAAACTTTGGCGAACCAAGTTTATGTTGTTGCTACGGAGGAACTCTGATACCATAAAAGCTCTCTGCTGCGGGGTAAATTGTGGCATCGCCATTTCAAAGTGTACGGGGTATTATACGAGAAAATGCGTTTCAGCACAAACAACTCGAAAGCACAAATTCCATGGCAATTCCACGGAACTCTCATGGGAGTAAAAATGAATTCATAATGAAGCAAGAACAGCACCAACAGAGAAAAATGCAACGTTTTCATAGGCTTTCGTAGGATTTGTACTCGGTAAAATTTTGCCGAAATTTTATCATAAATGCAACAAATAGCGAACTTTTCATGCATGAACTCAAATAAAGAATACCTTTTGTCATTTCCGTGCGCAAGCCAGTTATAGGGGAGCAAAAGTTGACCACCCCCCTGGATAGCAAAATTTACTATTTTCAAAATTTTTTATATTTTCCATAATTTAAGAACTCAAGCAATCCATATATAGCAGAAATTACATTTCATGAACAGAATTGTGGAATTGAGAGCAATTTCAAAATTGTCTTACTTTTTTTGATACACCCTGTATTATCTGAATGTTCAGTTTAAAGAAGACAATGCACATAGCGCATGAATTTTTGCTAACATTTTCTTCCTTTCAGAGTCAAAACCTACACTATACCAGAATATGCTTTCCTTTTGTTTCTGCCTGTCGTATTGCAAGGAAACTCTTGCACGAATATTGGACATGTGATAATGACTATTCGTCTGCTATATACAGTAATAATATACTTAACAAATAGATTACAATCATTTAATCGTTGTCTGTTCAGTTATATATAGATACACAGTATGACGTCATATGTGGTAAGAACAAAAAAGTGTCCACGATTCGCCTAGGCGAGTGAGCACTTTTTGTTCTTACCACATATGACGTCATACTGTGTATCTATAACTGAACAGACAACGGGAAATTGTAATCTATTTGTTTTATATAATAACTGAATTGAAAATATTCCCGAATTAAACATGTAAACAGTTTATTTTTATTCCTCCAAACAATTGGAAGTCGAAATTTTGCAAATATCACGCGTACATGATCTACACATATAACGAAATTCTATTGGCTCGCTTAAGTCACGTGCTGAATTCTGATTGGCTAAGCTTAGAATGCGCTAGACGGTAATAAATCAGGAAAAACTAAAAATTCATCAAAACATTGAAAAAACATTGGAATAAAAACGTGTGATAAAAAAGCAATTATTTGTTCTGATCAACAATGGCAATTGAAAAGCACTTAACATTACCTATGTTGCACGAAGTGAAGAAACCAGCTGGGAAATGAGACATCGACAGGGTCAAATGACCGAAATAGTATTTGTTTTCGAAGACCGGTTTCAGAATTTGAAGTCACATCTGAATGACTGAATTGAGATTTGCCGAGTGGGTAGCTTTTGTGAGTGGTTTTTGCACATTTATCGAAGGTATCTATAGCCTCCTGCGCAGCCACTAACAACGTCTGCGCAGGAGGCTAAGGTATTTATTGATGTTAATAGATTGAATTGCATGAATTCATTCAATTTGTATAATTTCAGTGGAATTTTCAAATATTTTCGACATTTTAAAAACTTATGACGTAATTCCGTGCGTCTGTCCTCTAAAAGATCATAGCTCTCGACCAATGAAATCGCATGAATTCTTAAGGTTATTATATAAATAAAAATGTTACTCGACTGTGATTGGTTAATTTCAGTGCAGTTAATCCCAAACAGCAGTTCAATTTTCTGTAATCACAGTGCAATTTTCGGTAATCACAGTGCAAAAATCTGTAACAAACTGATCTGATTGGTGGAAAACAATGTGATGATAAAATCTACCAATCAGTTTAAAGCAGTATAAGGTCGCACGCAAAGTTTAAGCACTGATTAAGATCGTACGCGAGACGTATGTGAGGTGTGCGTGATTTCGCTTCAGCTCATGTTACACTACGTGTGCGTGGGCCGCTGTACATGAGGTTATCGTCATTAAACAATATAAATTATAATTGTAGGGTCGATGTAAGGTCGACATGGGGCACCGGTTCGAATCTGGTTCGGTAGATGTGAACATTCTAAAAGAGGTCATAATGAATATGTTTACAACTCGAGGAACAGATGCACGAAATGTCTTCTTCTGATTTTTGGTCTGTCATGGGCGAGAGAGACCATAAAAGGCCAACAAGGACAAAGAGGGCAAATAGGCCAAGCGGGTCGTTGTCAGGTCGATTCTCTCGGGAACATAGAAATACAACAATTTATTCGCTTTCATTTTCTGACTAATGTTGTCGTTTTTCTAAAAGACGCTTGCAAGAAAATTTCTCTTCTCTACTGCGGAATATAAAGCTTCTTCGCGGTCGAGGAAATTTGCGTCAATTAAGTTATCTCTTGTCTGCATGAACTTCTTGTGAATTGGATCTCTTTTCATGTGTGACATCCACAGCCGTTCTACATAAATATCTTCTAGTTCTTTTGTGAGTTTGGGAAGAAGTTCTGAAAATGATTTCCTCTTAGCTTCAATCTCACCCTCATAATTATTAAGGCATTCAACATTTTCTTCAAATTCATCCAGAAATTTCCATTTTGCTTCATGTATCAACGTTTGCCAGAGGTCGTAATCCTTTCCATCTTCGCTGGTTTCGTGTTCTCCGTATTCACCTTCCTCTTTGCTGTCATCTTCTTCGATGTTCTCATTTTCTTTGCTGTTGGAGTGTTGCCCTCTTCTTCTTCTTCTTCACTGCTATGTTGTTTTTTTCTCGCCCTCAATATTGAAAATATTGCCGTTGTGATAGTCAGAAGAGGTAGATGCCTCTTGATTGTAATTATCCATCCTAACTTTTTTTATCTATACATAATGCTCTAGTCTTCTTCATCTGCGCAAGATGACTTGGCGTCACTAAGACAAATACGTCTTTCTTCAACTTTACTAACATACTGAAATTATGTTTTAAACAATTAATTTCTCAAAGCAATGGCCTTACAGCAATAAACAATGTATAAGATCTAAACAATGTTCACACATGAAAAGTGTGCCACGCAGAATGTCCTAAGTAGTTTAGGGATCATTAACCAAATACGAAAGATAATTCGAAATCCCCAAGTAATTAGAAAAAGCTTGAACCCCGCCTCAAGTTCATCAAGAAAGCAATAGTCGCTTCATGATGCACGCACAATAAAGGGTACGCACGTCTCTGTTCGTACTAAATAGTGCGCACGTCTCTGTTCGTACTATAAATTGTTCGTACAAAACTGTTCGCACGAGAAGAGTCATGCATCGTAAAAGCATATGTGGGAATATTTAAAGAATGGACTTTCAGATGAATAATCTTAATCATTGTACATGCAAGTAGCGAGTTGATTATCAAAATAAATTTATCAAAGTTGGCTTTCTTATTGAAAGGAACATTTAAATTGTTGTAATAACAGTGTTGTAACGAGTCACCTACAGGTCGAGTCACGAGTCGAGTCACTCAAAGGTCGAGTCACGAGTCGAGTCGAGTCATTTCAGTTTTTGATCGAGTCGAGTCATCGGCTTCACTCGAATCTAGTCGAGTCACTGATTTAAGTCGAGTCGAGTCAATTTCTAGACTTGACTTGAGCTACCCTAGTTTGCAGTCGGAAATTAGTAAACAAATTTGCGTTTTAAACTAACTACTTCAGTCATTTAATAACAGTATCTGGGCAGCTATAGGCTGTGCCAATATCACAGTTCTAGTCAATATTAATACAACCACATGAGATGTCTCATCATGACGACATAACGAGTATGGCGTGCCGTAAGGAGCTCTGTGATGAGCTCTCTGATAAAACCGATATCTTTCTGAAATTACCGACGAGTTTGATTGGTTTTCTCCGCCAAAAGAAAAACAAATTAACATGGAGTGGAACCCTGAATGACTTAAAAACATTTGTGTCGGTAAGTGTTGTTTCACCTGCGAAGATCTTGAGATTACGAGGCACTCGAAGAGTGGAGCAATAATTTTTGACGGAGTCAAAGCGAGAAATTTGGTAAAGCGAATAAAAGATATCCTCTCAAAGCCAGACGACGCGGAGAAGACTATCAATAGCGATCTTAACATGGAAGCGAATACTGATCGAGGTTCGTCACGCATCATTGAAAACGAGGTATCTAGTCATAACAGTACTTGTTCTGTAGTTATAGAGGGTTTAAAACTCGAGATGGTAATTTTGGAAACCCGGCAACTCAATACCATGAAGGAGAATAAGTCAGACATTTGCTCGCTTAAATTTAAAGTCAAAGATCTAGAAGGTGTCATCCGACATCAGGATGACGCAATTCTCAAGCTCTCACAAGATAATTTAATTTTAAAATCTAAATTATCTCCTTTTTAAAACTTAATTTATAAAGTAATCTTCCATGACCATGTGAATAATGAACGTGCTAATGAGTCTGCCAGTACAACCCAGGTTAATAACCAATGTGGATTCCACGACAAAGACCAACTGACTAATTTGAATGCCAACAATTCAAGGTTTATTGAAACTTCAACCAAAGAAAACCCCTCTGCTTAATAGTACACAAGTTCCGGATCCCCACGAAAAGCAGCGCTTGACAATAGATCTAACTACCCAGCGGAAAGAACGGATTAACATAATCACTAATATGGTTAATGACCAATGTGAATCCCAAGATAATGACCAACAATCCATGTTTTAATGAAATTTCAACTAATGAAAACCACTCATTGCTCAATAGTACACAAGTTCCCGTTTCTCATTACAATCAGCGCGTGTGTCAATAGATCTAACTGCCAAACCGAAAAAATGGTTAACATAATATACAATCCACAACCTGACAACGAGAATAACTTGGGCAATAATCGACACCCTCGTGCAAAGCACAACATCCCCTGCCCATTCCTTAGGCGCCGAGGGTGGTGCGCAAAAGGAAACCGATGTGATTTCAAACATCCGCATGAAGAACAGAAACATTTGGTATCCTGCCCTTTCCTACAAAAGCGACGCTTCTGCCTTAAGGGCACTAGGTGCGATTTTTCTCATTGGGCCACTTTTCCTCATAGCATACAGCCAATAAGGCCTATCAAAAACTATCCTACTCCTCCGCTTTTTTACGACAATCGACAGCCTATAGTCCCACAACAAAGAAAATACTGGTCCGGTTACAATCAAAGCGTTCAATGGCACCCCTATGGACCAGGTTTTTTTCAATCTCCCCCGAATCCGCTAATGGAAACCCCTTTATGCCCTCCCTACACCTTCCAAGTTCCTCCCTATTGCAATGCACGGTATGCAGAAACATTGGTGTAATCCCTGTCGTTAGCGCTAATACTCACAAGATCCCTGTGAGAATTACTAACAACCGTGCAAAAACCGTTGTTAACCACATTAATAATCATAGAGAACTGAAATTAGTCAGTACTTCAATACATGACCAGGCCATGAACCGAAACAACATATCAAGATTACCGAGTTTCTTCTCATAAATGCTCGCTCACTGTTACCCAAAATAGACGAGCTATCCCTCTTACTATCAATACATTCTTTAGAGTTTATTGCTGTAACTGAAACGTGGCTCAAAGATACTGTTCCTGAGCAACTAATTTACATAAATAATTACAACATTTTTCGCAATGATAGATCTTACAGCCGTGGTGGGGGTGTCTGCGCTTTCATCTCGACAAATATCCCAGCTAAAAGAAGAATGGACCTTCAAAACCCCTCTCATGAATGCTTATGGTTATGGCTGCGACCCCACCGCCTCCCTAGACACCTAACTGGATTAATCTGCTGTGTCCTATATAACCCGCCTGATACACCAGTCAATGAGCAAAAGGAATTGACGGCCTATCTTATCGATCAGATTGACCGAGTTAGATGTACCCACCCCGACTGCGGTGTTGTCTTACTCGGTGATTTCAACAATTTAGATATCAGCGATCTCCTGTGCCATCACAATCTTACGCAAATAGTGGACACCTCAACGCGTGAAGGTAACATCTTGGATCTAATTGTTACTAATCTAGAAGCCTTGTATTCTAAGCCTGTGATTATAGCACCGCTCGGCTCATCAGATCACAACATTGTTAAATGGTCCGCGAAAACTAACGTTTTAAGAATAGATAATAAAACAATTAAGAAAAACATACGTTCCTTCCCCATGTCGGCACGTGCAGCTTTTGGAAGATGGTGCTGCTCACGTGAGTGGTTTTCTGATGCCGAAAGCAAAAACTCTGCGACCGCTCTAGCGTCCTCCTTTACCAACGCGTTAAATTCTGCTGTTGATAGGTTATTCCCGTCTAAGGTTATTAGAATTCATAACTCTGACAAACCATGGATGACGCCTGCATTAAAAAAAACTGATTTATCAAAGGCAAAAGGCCTTTCATTCTGGTAACCTTAACCTCTGACGTCACTATAGACTTAAAGTCCGAAACGACATAGGAGTGAAAAAGCGTGCATATTATACGAACAAGGTACAACACCTAAAATCCAGTGACTCCAGAAAATGGTGGGACTGTGTTAATAACATTAACTGTGTAAATAACATTAAGATCGTTAAGAATGGTACCACTCTATCTGGTAAAGATCTCGCCCAATCACTTAACACCTATTTCTTAAGCGTGAGTAATGACCTTCCACCACTGAATCCTCTCCTGCTACCTGCCTTTCTCCCTGCACCTAGGCCTGTGCCAAAAATTTTCCCTGACGAAGTTTGCACTAAGATGCTCAATACAAAAGTTTTCAAATCCAGCGGTCCTGACAATATTCCTAACCGGATTATTAAGAATTTTTGTCCACTGGTGAATTCCCTAACATATGGAAAGATGCGTTAATTACACCAATTCCTAAAGCGCGATCCGTATCCTGTGAAGAGGGGTTGCGCCCAATCTCCCTTACAGCCTCTTTGTCCAAAATTCGTGAGGACTTTGTGGTCAATTGGATGGTGGATGACGTGAAACATAAAATCAACCCGCAACAATTTGGTTGCCTTAAAGGAACCTCTACAACGTTTTTCTTGATCGATATGATCAACAATTGGCTAAGATCATTGGATGATAAATCGAGCTATCTGCGGATCGTTTTCCTCAATTTTAGTAAAGCCTTCGACCGCATCGACCATAATATCCTGGTCCCAAAGTTGCTGGCCCTTGGCGTCAGATTGTCGCTTATTCCATGGATATGCAGCTTTCTCTCAAATCTTCGCCGTCAATCGCTTCATCAAGCTTCGCCGTCAATCGGTAAAGATCGACAATTTCCAATCTGATTGGGGCATCAAAAACGCAGGTGTTTGTCAAGGAACTAAGTTGGGCCCTATTTTATTCATAATTATGATCAACGATCTTGAACTGGCATCCTCTAGCACTGACCATTGGAAATACGTGGATGACGTAACAATATCGGAGTCCTTAAAGAAAAATAAAGTTTCAGTCCTACAATCTGATCTTAACACAATTGAAAGATGGATTGTTAATAACAAACATGAAATTGAACGGAAAGAAATGCAAAGAAATGATAGTGAGTTTCGTTTGTAGCGAGAATGACATCCCCCGACTCCTCATTGATGGTTTACCTCTAGACTTAGTTCTTTCTTTCAAAGTTTTGGGCTTAACCATGCATGAACAATAAATTGAAATGGCAA